GATTGCCACCCCAGCTGCTCCGGTTATCGGAGGTGAAGTTCAAGGTTGCCTGCGGGCCTGCCTTGCGCAGCTCCTCCCTCAAGTACTCCCTGCATGCTTCATACAGGGAGGGCAAGACCATCCTGCTAAAGGTGGTGCATGTGGGCGCTTTGTAAGATGGGGCCAGAACCGGTATGAGCCACCTAACTCTGGTTGCTCAACTAAGGAGAAGGGCTGGCTGTCCAGAGCAAGCATCACCCCAATGGTCTGGGTGATTTTGCTTGCCTTTGCAACTTGCCCCCCTTTCCTGTCCACCTTTCCCCACTGTTCCAGGGTGACCTGCCTCTGTTTGGAGGAATGGGAGCTTTGGGGCCAGTGGGAGACTTGCTTTCCAGCACACTCACACTGGTGCCAGGCTGAGTAGCAAGAAGGGCAAGGGAGTGTTGCCTTCTGAGATACAGCAGCATTGCTGTGGTGGTGAAGTGTTTCACCTCCTTGCCCCAGCTGATGTGCTTTCAGCAGTGCTGGCAGATAGCAAACCTGGGGTCATCTGCCAGCTCAGAATGCTCCCACACTATGCTTCTCACTCACTTCTGTGTTGAGGGTGAGGATGCTGCCTTATCTCAGTCCTCAGCAGGCTGAGGTACAACAGCAGGAGGAGCTGCCTCAGCTGAGCCACTTGCCTCCACAACCTCAACTTCCTCCGAGGTGCTGCTTTCTGGAGGAGACCTGGGTCTAGGGGAACTTTGAGGGGTGTGGAGCACAAACTCTGATTCCCCCTTGGTCCCCAGAATTGCTTGAGCCAGGGCACTCAGCGCTTGTGGTTCCAGCTCTAGCTCCTCCTCTGGCAGTGGGAGGCTCATGCTGAAAGATGACATTGGGGTGGAGGAGACAGTAATTCTGCTGCTGGTGTCTATTTCTGGACTGAGGGGAGGTGGTGCAGATGCAGGGACGTCAGGTGCAGACACTGGTCCCACCTCCTTGCTTCCACTGGCAGCAGAAGTGTCGTGACTGTTTGAGAAGAGAATGTGTCTGTGTTTGGGCTGTGGGGGGGCTTGCAGCTCTAGCTCTGCATCTGGCACCTGCCTTTTTAGCATGCTTCATATTAATCTTTCCTGTGCTGCAAAAGGTGTGTGTGTGTCACTCCTTTTCTGTTGTGTGTTTTATTCCCTCTGTATTGCGTGTGTGCACTGGACTCTTCTTTGATTTTTTGGTTCAGGAACAATAAGTATTAAGAACTATGTAAAAAATGTATGCTGTCTGTCTGTCTACTTTTCCACTGTGATGTATTTATTTATGATGAATTATGAACGTGAAGTGTGACTCTGTTGTGTGTTTTATTCCCTCTGTTGTGTGCATGCACTGGACTCTGCTTTGATTATTAATAACTATATATGGTGTCTTCTGTGATGTTCTATTAATGTGAATGGGTGACTACTACTGTACTTCTTGTTCTTCTTCTGTGTTGTAATGTGTACCTAAAATGATATATCTCCTTCTTCTAAGACCCTGAGTTCTGTGTTAGTCTCAATCTCTGATTTCTGTATTGTCTACATCTCTTTGTAAACTAAACTATAATAATATTAATAACTAATAACTACTATATATAATCTCTCTTCTTCTCCTATGAATATCTGATTTTTCTTTTATGTGTGTATATTATAAGTGTGTGCATGCAAGCTGTGTTCCTCCCTGCACAGTGATGGATCCCACTGGCAGGGAAAACACTGAGCTTTCTTTTTTCAAAGTTTGCACAAAAAAAAGAGAGCAAATATCAATTGAAAGAAATGAATTGGATAGTATTAAGTAAAGAGATTCTAAGCTAAGCTAAGCTAAATCCTATCCACTCCTTTCTAAGAACAAAAAGGAGCAGGCAAGTTGCAACTGACTGACTATGAAGCAAGCCAGGTAGCACAGTACCTTGCTGACGTTGTCACTCACGCAGAAACAGCTCACAAAAGGCACAGTAAGCTTGCAAACAGAGGCTTTTATGCTGTTTCTATGTCCCTCCCTCCAGGCACTGTAATTGGAAGGGCAGTCAGAGAGAAATCCTGCTCACTGGCCACCGAGACATGTCAGTCCCCCCCGCCCCACTCCCCCTCCATCTTCTAAGTTTCTGTTTCTCCATACAGACAGTTCTCCGAATCACTGAATTTTTTCCGAATCTTCCGAATCCTTTCAGAAAGTCAAAAGCAACTAGTGATTTGATTCAGGCTCACAGATTTGGCCTCCAAATCACCCGAATCTTTTCCGAATCCAAATTGCAGTCCAAAGCTTTGCACAGCCCTAGTCTTGCTGTTCCTGTATTCCAGACAGGGATGTAATCTACATTTGAGATGCAAAATCAAATATAAACCAAAGCAGCACAAATTCATGGTGTGTTCCGCATAATTATATTTATGTACCTTGTGGAATTGGTAAAGGCTCCTCAACAGGTTAACTCTGTAGGCATTAGGCATTAGTCTTCTCTTAGAATGACGTATAAGCCAAAGAGAATCCCACGTGAAATTTGAAGAAAGCCAGAGCAGGAGAAGATAACTTTCATCCTGTGGTCTCCCCTTGGATGATTAGAGGTCTAGGAAATATGGTTTAGGAGGATAGGCTTAAAGAACTAGAATTATTTGTCTGGAGAAGAGAAAACTGAAGAGGGATTTCATAGACATTAGGGCTGGAAGGGACCTTGAAGATCATCAAGTCCAGCCCCCTGCCCCAGGAGCAGGAAATCAGCTAGGGTCAAACAATCCCAGCAAGATAAGCATTCAAACATTTTTTGAATGAGTCCAGAGTAGGTGCCTGCATGAGTTCTGGAGGGAGTCCGTTCCAGGCCTTGGGGGCTCAGACAGTAGAGAAGTTTTTCCTTATGTCCAGCCTAAAACGGTCACGGAGGAGTTTATGACTGTTGGTCCTTGTTTTCCCTTGGGGCTGTCTGGTGAACAGACTGCCCCCAGATCCTGATGCACACTCCTTACGTACTTATAGGCAGCCACCAAATCACCCCTGAGCCTGCATTTTTCTAGGCTGAAGAGTCCCAGGGCTCTCAACCTCTCATCATAAGACCTGTTCTCCTGCCCTCTGATCATGCACATGGCTCTCTTCTGGACTCTCTCAAGCTTCTTGGTATCCTTCTTAAATTGTGGAGCCCAGAATTGGATGCAGTACTCCAGCTGCAGCCTCACCAAGGCTGAGTACAGTGGGAGGATGACATCCTGAGATTTAAAAAGAGTGTTCAAATACCTGAAGGATGGTTATGGAGAGTATGGAGGTAGACAGTAGGGCTGTGCAAAGCTTCGGTCCCTGATTTAATTCAGCAGAGATTTGGCCCAATTCGGTGGCTGAATCTCCAAATCCGAATTGAATCAGAGGACCCTTTAATCTCTCTGAATTGAATTGGGACCCTCTGAATTGATTCGGAGAGATTCAGAAAGATTCAGAGATTTGGACATAAACACTGCTTTAAATGTTTTTTCTACGTAAGTCTAGGTAGCAGGTGGCTTGTGAATGCTGTGATGCTGGGGTGCATGGAGCTGCCCACAGGATTGCGGGGGACTCCGCAGTGTGCTTGGCAACAGATCCAGAAGTGGACCAGAAGCAGTTCTGGTCCACTTCCAGGTCCACCGGAGAGCGTGGAGGGGGGGCCCTCCCCCCCCCCCCAGTTCAGCAACTGGTGCCTTCTAGGTCTGGTCCCCCCTGTGGCCAATCACTGAGCTGGGGGAGTGTGGGGACCCCCCAGTGCACTCTCTAATGGACCCAGAAGTGGACTGGAAGTACTTCCAGTCCATTACCGGGTTTGCCACTGAGCACACAGGGCCTCCCCCCCCGCGCACTCCTGTGGGATGCTCCATCTGCCCCACCATCACAGCATTCACAAGCCGTAACTGGTACCTCAAGGTATGTAGAAAAAACATTTAAAGCTGTGTCTAAATCCAAATTGCTGATTCTCTGAATCAGCATCAAATCTTCAGATTCCCATTCGGCTGAATCGAATCAGGGACAGTGATCCAAATCAACGAATCAAATCACTGTGCCTGATTTGGGCTGAATATGATCGAATAGAGTCCATTTCACACATCTCTAGTAGACAGTTTTCTGTAGCTACAGGAGACAGAACTGGGAGCAATGATTTCAAATTGCATCAGGGGAAATGTAGAACTTATATTAGGAAGAACTTTCTCACTGGATTTAGGTTATCCAGAGAGGACATTTTTCATCCCAAGAAATTTTTAAGAGCAGTTTAGACAAACACATGTCTGGGATGACTTAATCAGAGATGATCCTGCCTTGAACAAGGGGTTAGACTAGATGACTGCCTGAGGTCCAGCCCTTTTTTTAAATGATTATGTCTAATCTGCTGAGACACATTTGAATATATCACAAGGGGAAATCCCCAGGGAGAGAGAAAGCATTTCTACATTTTTTCACATCTAAGTACTCTGGAGACTCTGGTTACACACTCAGTTCTTTGGAAAAATTAAGCCATAGAAGCTGGGGGTTTGGTTGTGGCCATGTTGGTCTAAGGACATAGGCAGGCAAGGTTCCTTTGGTAGATGTGATATCTTTTACTAGACCAACTGAGTAGTTGGAAAAAAGTTCTTTGCAAGCTTTTGGGTGCAATCACTCTTCTTTAAGGCATAGGGAGCCTCTGCTTTTCTGAGATCACCCAGAAGGTCCTTCACTGGATTGCCAGGGAACCCCTTGGAGATCTCAGAACAGCAGAGACTCCCCATGCCTGAAGAAGGGTGCTTGCATCTGAAAGCTTGCAAAGAATTTTTTTCCAACTACTTGGTTGGTCTAGTAAAAGATATCACATCTACTCAAAGAACCTTGTGCAAGCCATAGAAGGCCATTCTCATGGGGTGTGCAACACTTTAAAAATTTACCTGATATATTTAGGAACCTCATTTTAAGATCCTTTATAATGGCCAGAAACTTAATTTTAAGCTACTGTTCTGAAAAATCTGTATATTCCTTCCAACTTAAGGGGTTTTTTTTTTTTGTTTGTTTTTTGCTTTTTTTTTTCTCAGCAGGCCAAGATCATGCACAGACAAGTACAGAAAAACAATTCTTCTGATGAGGTTATGAAATCTAAGAACTACAGTTTCTAAAGACAGTTGAATAGAAATGTCAAGGTAGCATTTATCTTGAAATATAACACTCCAACTTTATTACCTTTCTGTTGTTATAACTTGTATAATATACTTACACTGTTTCTTTTGTTATACACAATCATGTACATGTACAAAGAATGTGATTCCATAATCCAGCAAAGGAAATACTGCCATGTTTTGAGTAAATAAATCCATAGCTACCCAGTATTTAGATATATTTGAAATCCCTAATAATATAAATATGTTGCAGGCA